TTGTTATTTATTCCAAAGTGCATCATCTTTCACTTTTCACGGTTAAACTTCCTCTGCCACTGATCTGACCAACCCATTTTTATCTTCCTGTAACCTAACAGCTTCTTCCTCCTTCCTATTAACCACCCAGCCAATCTTTGCTTCGCTTGTTATGTACTACATTTGTAATGAGAGGGGGAGGTGGGGGTGTAGTGGGAGTGTTACTGGACTTGCAATCTAGAGACCCGGGCCAATGTTCTGGGGACATGGATGTAATCCTGCCATGGCAGATGGTGAAATTTGAATTCAGTGAAAGTCTAGAATTAAAAGCTAGCCTCATGGGAGCAGCTACTGTTGACTGGCAAACGAGATGGGTTTTTACAACAATGTCCAGCAGGGAGGAAAACCTAATGTCCTGGATGACTCTTAACTGACTCTTTAGGTAATTTCTGAGGACAATCAGTTCAAGGCCAACTAGGGATAGACGACAAATGCCAATGATGCCCACATCCCAAATAATAATAAAAAATTAAAAGGTACTAGTAATAAAAAAGTTCTGACTTGATTATTGACAATACATGCATGAGGCATCAAATAATACAAGTCCAACCAGGTCATGTTCTAATGATCAGAAGAAAGAGGAATTTAGAATTCTCCCCCCTCCCCTTTTAGCCAAAATTACAAAAATAAAAAGAGTGCCCTCTGTGTCATGACGAATTTTGAAAACTCAAGAAAAACCTCATACAATCTGCTTCTTAATTCTTAAGGTCAGATGAGAGTGACAGCCCTTGACATCAAGGAGCCCTCGCAAAACTGGAATCAATTAGTAACAGGGGGCAAACTCTCCACTGCTTGGAGTCATACCTGGCACATAGGAAGATGGTTGTGGGAGGTCAGTCATCTCAACTCCAAGACATCTCTGCAGGAGTTCCTCAAGATAGTGTCCGAGGCCCAACAATCTTCAGCTGCTTCATCAAGGACCTTCCCTCTATCATAAGGTCAGAAGTGGGGATGTTCGCTGATGATTTCATAATGTTCAGCTCCATTCACGACTCCTCAGGTACTGAAGCAATCCATGTCAAACACAAGAAGATCTGGGCAAGTAACATTCGCGCCACACAAACGCCAGGCTATGACCTTCACCAATAAGAGACAATCTAATCACTGCCCCTTGACATCCAAAGGTGTTACCATCACTGAATGCCCTACTATTAACATCCAGAAACTCATCATTGACCAGAAACTCAACTGGACTCACCATATAAACACAGTGGCTACAACAGCAGGTCAGAGGTGAGGAATACTGCAGCGAGGAACTCACCTCCTGACTCCTCAAAGCCTGTCCACCATCTATAAGGCACAAGTCAGGAGTGTGATGGAATAGTTGCCTGCATGAGTGCAGCTCCAACAACACTCAAGAAGCTTGACACCTTCCAGAACAAAGCAGCCCGCTCGATTGGCACGACATCCACAAGTACCCACTCCCTCCACCACCGATGCTCAGTAGCAGCAGTGTGTACTATCTACAAGGTGTACTGTAGAAATTCACCAAAGATCCTCAGACAGCACCTTCCAAACCCACGACCACTTCCATCTACAAGGACAAGGACAGCAGATACATGGGAACACTACCAACTTCAAGTTCCCCTCCAAGCTACTCACCATCCTGAAATGGAAATACATCACTATTCCTTCCTAATCTCTGGGTCAAAATCCTGGAATTCCCTCCCTAATGGCATTGTGGACTGCAGTGGTTCAAGAAAGCAGCTCACCACCACCTTCTCAAGGGCAATTAGGGGCGGGCAATAGATGTTGACCCAGCCAGTGACCCCCACATCCCACAAACAAATAAAAAAAAATCCCAACCTCACTTCATACCCACAAAGTAACATTCAACTCTAACATCAAACTTCCCTTTCACTCAAGCTGCACCTGCAGCAGAACATGCTATTAGTGAAAATGTAATTTGATAAATTATATTAACAAACAAACAAACAAATTCTCCATTTATCAATTTGAAAATTGGAAATATTTTGGATGCAACCAAACTGAAAACTGCATGTCAAAGATGGTAACAAACATGAAATATACTTGCTTACTTGCTCCAACTCTCTATTGCAGAAGAATACGGAAGATAGAGAACATTGGGGAAATAAATAGCAACATCTTGAAAAATGCCCATATTACAGAGGTGGAGGTGCTGGACGTCTTAAAACGTATAAAGGTGGACAAATCCCCGGGACCTCATCAGGTGTACCCTAGAACTCTGAGAAGCTACTGAAGTGATTGCTGGGCGCCTTGCTAAGTCATTTCTATCATAGATTGCCACAGGTGAGATGCTGCAAGACTGGAGGTTAGCTAATGTGGCACCACTATTTAAGAAAGGTGGTAAGGAAAAGCTAGGGAACTACAGACGGGTGAGCCTGACATCACTAGTGGGAAAGTTATTGGAGGGAATCCTGAGACAGAATTTGCATGTATTTGGTATGCTTGCCTTAAATGGCCAAATGTAGGAATAGATTAATTTATGTCGGCATAAACAAGTTGGACTGAAGGGTCTATTTCCATGCTGTACAGCTCTATGACTCTACTGGTAGTAAAAACTGTTGTTGTACAGATGCTGCCAGAACTGTTCAGTTTCTCCAGCACATGGTTTGTATTTCAGATTGCCAGCATCCACAGTATTTTGTTTTTGCTCTCATGTTGCTTCTATAATTTAGTAATCCCAAATATCATAGTTCAAACGTTGCTTTCTATCTGCAACATGCAAAGTTGCAATGTAGTGTTTTTCTAACCTGCAGTCAAAAGCTACCATGCTCATTTCAATCTGCAAGATCCCACGACCAGACAATTTAGTCTTGTTTTTTTAAACAAATCATTCCACCACCCCCAGAAGAAAGGGAACACAGTAATCTTTTGGCTTTCAGTGTGAAGTAAAGAGCTTGGGCCCAAAGTATCAACTTATTTTTTTTCTCATTCTAGTTTGACAAGCCTGGTGTATATTTCCAACATTTTTATACCATTTTTCCAAGTAAATGTTGCTTTGCCCACTGGTGTGATCTTGCAGGCTTGTGTTAAGCTTTTCAAGTTTCAACTGTGTCAGCTTTATACAACTTCTCACAGTTAACTGCAAAGTTTAATTGGAAGTTGGAACAAGCCACTGATGTTTTTCAATGACCAGGAACTGGTGAGAACCAAAAGAAGGGAGCCTAAAAAGGAGCATGGTGCATTTTGTTTTTAAAATCGGCTTTTCCTGTGGCCAGCTTCTTCCTGCTTTTATAATTTGAAAAAAATAGTACATACAAATTTCAATGTGTTTACTGAGGCATCCAGCAAATCAATTCTTTTTAAACCAGTAATTTTCCAAACCCAACTGAAAAAACACATGCAGATCACATACATTGTACTATTCCTTTTGTAAATAATGGTATTTGAAAGATCACAAAAACAATTTTCTAGTGAAATCTTTACATAAACTTTGGGTGAAGGACTTAGAATCCTCCACTCCTCAGAGCTGCTCTCATTGCAGAATAATTTCTATAAAATAGTTCCTGGGTAATTACCTGAATACAAATAAATATATTCATGGTGGTGTTAAATGGGCTGGCTCTTGAAGCTTCTCAATAGGACAATTTTGTTCCAGATAGTAAGAGTGCCATGGAAGATAGTTCACCAAATAAACAACACAACAGGATTGGTCTTGAGAATACCGAAACCTGTCTTTTCGTGTGGCTTTCACTAGGGGGCCTCTGGTGAAAAATGCCAGAGGTCCACAGAGTTAAATGGCTCCCATGTGACTGGATTGATTTGCAGTCTGGACACTGGCAGAGATACACAGCAAATGCATGCACTGCTGGCCTGTGCAACGTTCACATCAGGACAGTCTGGAACCAGGTCATTACCTAATGGAATTGCGTTAATTATTGAACATTTTCTATGGGAAAAGGCTCTGTAATGCAAGTGGCTCAGTCCTGTGCAGTTGTCACTCCAGCAAATACAACACATCTGTGTATACAAAAGGTACAAAACCATTACTACTGACCTTCAACCAATTGAAATCCGATCAACCTAAGATGTAAAGCTTGGTCACAAAGAACATGCTCTAGTTCCTGTACAAGGAATCTGCTCTACCAGCAACAGCACTAGCTCAGTGTTGACTAAACCAGGAATTATCCTCATTTGGATGAGGAAAACTCCTTTAGTTACAGCTATAGTACGAAACCAAATGTTAAAAAGAGTTTGTTTGCAACTTCACTCCAAAAAAAAAACTGAACACGGTTATTCTCTGGTATCATTCTCTATTTGTTACAAGTAGTTCTCCTATAACAAGATAGTTGTGTTCTTGTGCGAGCTCACACTATAGAATTTGCCACAGAAAATCACATTATGGGGAAATTGCTATTGAAAATTGCTGTACTTTAAAGTAGAAAGTTCACGTCATCCAAACAGCGTTCACTATTCATCAATCACATTATAGCCAATTCGCGTTAATAAAACACACTTTATAGCAGAACTACTTTAGACAGTGCAATGTTAGGGTGGGGACTGTGGAAGCCAGTATAGCTGAGCCCAATTCCATCTGCACACAATGATACCAGAGACTGTTTCACAATGCTCGCAAGATAGAGATTAGGCATCCCATGTGACTTTTCGATCCCTACCCAAGTTCTTGCCCCTGTTCATCACAAACTGAGGATGAAACCAGGATATCCTGTAGTCCGTTTTTTTTCATGCTGAGTCATCAATTGAGCCTCAAAGCTAACCATGGAGCTACTAAAGAAGCTGAGTATAAATCCATACAGCTGGAGCTTTAAAGTCAGCTCACTGATAGTACTGTCATCTCCCAGCCAAAAAGCTGAAATTTAGCCCAATTGTTGAACACGCCATACCTTGTATGAAACATCTAACAGTGTAGACTGTCTGTTTGCATAGGCATAAAATTCAAAGGGCAGGGGAATACATCCAACATGATAGCCAACATTTATTCAAACTCACCAAGACAAATTAAGTAGCCACACATCTCACTTGCACAAATTTGATGCTTTATTTTCCTTTATGAAAAAAGGAGTGACAGCAAGTCAAAAACCCATGCATTGGCTTATAATCGAATGGGGAAGGACTGTGTTTTCGCCTTAGCTACGCAGATGCACTCCGGACAATTGGAGTTCCAGGAACTACGCCAGTTTAGAATTTCAAAAGAAATGTTTACTGGCCTTGCTATCAATTAAATTCACCAATGTATCTTGCACTGCAAAAATAAAATTGTATTTACAACATGCTTCACCACATCAAAACATGACACAACAAACTACTTTTGCAGTTTAGCCAGATAGGCAAGCACTGGAACTGTTTCCCTTCACCAACATCTGATGGCATTTTGGAAGTAAAACGTGACTTGGTTTTCTCAGTTAGGAGAGCATTTTTCTCCTGCAGCTACTGAAACATATTCAAGGTCTAACTTTTAGTCTCACCCAGAGCCTGTATTACAGACTTAACAACAGTGATGAAGTGGTTGAGCAACGGTTCGCTGCTATTCTCTTGCTTAACAGTAATTTGCATGTCCCTCTTGCCCTTCACAGTTAAGAGTTCAATTAAAAACAATGACCCAGTGTCATTTTTGGCAAACAGATAGGCTTTCCACGGTTGCACTCCTGCCCGGCTAATTGCAACCGGCTGGATGTGAACAAACTGAAAAGCAGTTTGGATGGCATCAGGGCATGAGTCTTTGTGCCAGTCCACAGTCACAACTTTAGCAGGTTCCAGACGAGTCCAGTACTCCTCAAACTGCTCCGGCGACAGGTGGGCACTGGTCTCCAAACTGACTGATCCAGAGTCTGCAGCCATCTTTTCTCTTTGTTCTGGGCTTGTGTCTTTGTAGAAATTAAAACACAGAAAATGTTACACAGGCCACTTTCAACATAAAGAAAAACAGAATATGCAATACACAACTGGACAAGAAAAGGCATTTTCTGCCTCTCTCCTGACGAGAGCTCCAGGAGTTCTTTAGTATGTTGCCAAAATGGACATTCTTGATGTGTGTGGGGGGCGTGGCAGCAGGCATCAAAATTCACTTATTGGCATTAATCCAACAGGAGTCAGTGGACGGCAACCACCACATTTTTTACTCTCTTTAATCCAATATAGAGTTTATCATGCTGCCCTAGCTGAAATCAGCTAACTCAGCACAGGCAAATCAAATCTGGAACTCTCTGGGCCAACCAGCTTAACTCTACATGGATACTACCGTTCTGCACTTATTTTCAACAACTGGATAACTGTAAAACAACTGGAGACCTTTCTGAAACCTAAAAGAAGCCTAATTTCAGAGTAAGGGGGTCACCCATTTAAGAGAAAAGGAATTTTTTCTCTCACAGGGTAATGAACTTGCGGAATTCTCTACCAATTCCTTATGGAGAGCTGTTTAGGCTGGTATTTTGAGTATATTCAAGGCAAGGACTGATTTTTTTTAAGCAATAAGGCCTACTCCAGCTATTCCTCAGATGCTGGAACTCAGGGGAAATTACATTCATAACACTGACAGGCAACCACTTGCTGAGGGACATATTGGTCTCAGTGTAACAGCTCAGTACTTCTGGTCAGGGGTGATCAAAATTAACCTTACTCAAAATTATAAAGGATGTGTACAGCTGACAGAAAATGATACAGTGGGATCTGGCAAGATTCTATTGCTGGTTTATTTAGTCGAACAGCAAACATAGTATCAAACTGGTTTTAAAATTCATACATGGAGCAAATATTTTTAGGATGAATTTGAAACAGGTGAGAGCAGTGGACTGCCAAGAATTTACATCTACAGACAACCCTCAAATGAGAGATTTTTCAAAACACTTTCCAACAGTACTGAAATAATAGTCCAAGAGATACGTGACAGTGAGTGGAGGGGCTGCCACTACCAGCGGAATTAGCAATAGTCGAATATCAGAATTGGAAGGTCTCGGGGCTCGGACTTGCAGTGACTCCAATGCATGGACGACAACCAAAGTAAAGGAGGTTGACTGGCAGTCGGTCCAGGCCTGGAATTTAACTATATAACTACTTACCTTTTTCATCTGACTTTACTGCTGACACCTGCAGGATTTCTAAGGAGTCCCCTTTCTGTGCTGTTAAGCGATCCCACTGTTCTTGGCCATAGATTGGTATTAGTGTGTTAAAGTCTTTGGACCAGGTACTGACTGCCTCTTTAGCTTGACCACTTATTACATCCAAGGATGGATCAGATCTTGGTCCACAGACTACCCGCTTGACCTCTTCAACTCCTTGCTGAAGCAGCCGATAATATAACAGTCCGCGATCGCGCACAGCCATGTCTAACTCCTCCTCTGTCAATAAAAACAACAAACGTCTGCAGTGAGAATAGCAGCACGTGGTATTGTAGCACATAATTTTAGAAAACCTGCAGTTAATTAATAAATGCACGGCCTAGTTTGAAATGGACCTTAAATCCAATGAGGACTCCAATATGATCAGCGTTTTGGGTCTGAAATAGCTGACCCAAGACAAGTAGTGAATACGTGTTTGTCATAGTCCAGAAAGAAAACAACATCGGCTGGGAAGTCCCCTTGTCATCAATTGCTCACATAGAAACAGTCACTCATGACAAGTCCTGAACATTGCCGGCATTTATGGATGATAGGAAGTTGCTGAATTAAACAGACTACAAATATTCCAACAAAAACAGAAGTTGCTGGAAAAGCTCAGCAGGTCTGGCAGCATCTGTGAAGAAAAAATCAGAGTTAATGTTTTGGGTCTGGTGATCCTTCCTCAGAACTGTTAAACATTAGCTCTGATTTTCTCTTCACAGATGATACCAGACCTGCTGAGCTTTTCCAGCAACTTCTGTTTTTGTTCCCCATTTACAGCATCCTCAGTTTTTTCAGTTTTCACAAATATTCCAAATTTTGATTCCCCTTGTTAGGAGTTCACTACAGTAAAGGCAGTGGGGATGCCACAATTTACCTCTGCATAGAGAACGACAAATAAAGTCAGTCATGATGTATATCATATATGGGAACAGGACAGGAATGGCTGTGAAGTTCCTACATTCAACACTCACACGAATAACCATATTTTGGGCAAAGTATTGGAAGGGTAACCCGTAGATATGAAGCCAAATAAGATATCAATGGTTTCTAGTGGGTAAAGGAGAAAATTGGCGGGGGAGGGTGAAGGAGGGGGAATGTAACAAAATATCAATGAGAACCAATTAAGGTTTACAAAAATCACAGCCTGATAATCGCAAAAATATCACATACATTTTGTTAATTCTTAATTATATTTTAATGCATATCAGGAAGATCTTTGTGTTATTTCAAAGATTAAATCATTTCTAGAGGAACAACTTTTCCATGATACTCCTCTCAAAGTCTATTTAAGTTAAATATCTCTCAACTTTGCTAAACATGAGCTTCCTTTCCTCCCCCCATTACAATTGGGTCTCAGTAAAACAAGTAATTGGCAAGTAACAAGGCATCAATTTGTAATTGTCATTCCACACAATGAAGGAGAACTGCTGCAGAGCCACATTCTCATGGTTATTTGTAACTGCAATCATCTTCTTTTATCAATTCACAGACTCTGTTCCCTTACATATTAACCAACAGCCACTGATACCAGGCACCCAAGGGATCAAGTGCTAAGCAGAAGTCATGGTCTTTAGGACAGAAAAGGAGTACAGTGTCATTCCTGCATCCACAACACCCAGATAATGCTAACGTTTTGTCTTGAGCATAACCCTTACCAATAACATAATGAAGTAGTCTTCCCAGCACATCCTGACATTCAGCCGGGCGACTCAGGAACAGGCGCACCATCGCTGTGATCAGCTCCAGCTTCACTGTTGCAGAGGTCTCCATTTTCACATTGTCCACAAATTCTTCCAAGACGTAGGGAGCATTGGGAACCTGCTCTCCGTGCATCCCAAGGAGCCAGATCAGAGCTTGCTTCCCCTGGTTGGTGAGGGCAATTGGCAGAGGAAAGAAAATACAGTTAACTAATTTGCAAAGAGAGCATTCTCTATAACATTACTTCTAACCCTGAACGTCTCTATGATGTTGTGGCTGAGTTCACAGGTGTGAATTTTTCTGTATCTTGCTCCTTAACTGGTCACAACAAAGTTTGAATTTAAAAAAAGAGAGGTGATATTCCAATTTCCTATTTATATAATCAGTAAAGAGCTCGATATAGGAAACAAGAAAGCCAAGTTTCTTGAGTCACAAGAACTATTCTAATGCAAACAAAAATTTATTCAAACAAAAATGTAAAGATTAACAATAGATTTAAACTGAACAAATGTCATACAACTAATCTTCTTGAAAAATAACACATACATAACTGGCAAGTTTCAGTAAGAGACATATGAAAAGTCTATAGAGTTTTTTCTTAAAAGTACTTTGAGTGAGTAAAACTAAATTTAAAGAAAGGTTTCTAGATTGTCCAAATGTTGGTCTGTGGCCAAAGTTACATGGTATACAAGCTGCTGACACAGGGGTGTCAGCTTAGATCAGTTATAACTAGCAGAACTCACTTTTTGGAGGCAGTGGTGTAGGTTTTAAATTCTTCTTCAGGAACCCTCATTAGAGATTTTCCAGCGGGTTTTTTAAATTCAAGTTAAGGCAATTGCACCAGGCAAGTTTTCTCTCCGGCAGTCTATGTTCAAATCCAGCAGCTTTATCACCCCCACAGACTGGTTCAAATGAACTCTATCTATAAGGTATTGTGAACTCAGTGACTCCAGTCGAACAGCTCATATTCTTTCCACTTTTTAATAATTTTCCCTGCTGCAACCAGGGGAAAACCTGGGGAACTCCTTTGCAAAGCAAAGTGTTCTTTCAAAAAAGTCCAAAAGATCTAGATGTATGCCTAGTCAATTGTATTTCAGATAACAAATCCTTATAACAATAAACTAAGATTTTCTGTAGCACCTTGTTCAAGCACCACTGGGTGTGGAGTGGTAAAAGCGAATCACAGTTAACACAACCTGTCTTATTTGGCATTCAGATGGATCCTAAAAGGCTACTGGACTGTGAACAGCAGTGGGATTCCTGCCTCAGTGTTTCTCTCCTGACTACATGCTTTCTTCCAGCCTGGGGTCAACAGGACCAAATGCATTAACCTAGTGAGATCAGCTGAGGGTCTGAACTTGGGACACTCCAGATTGATGTGTTTCAATAACGAGGCACATGACAAAAGACTATTTTGACCATCACAGGACATCAAAACAAAATCTCATCCTGCGTAACCTACCTCACTATCCTGGATGTTCTCCTCACAGCCTAGTAGTGCCTGGCAGACAGTCGCTGTACACTGGGGACACAGCCATACAAGATCACGAAATGTTTGAATGACAGCTGAAGACAAAAAGAGAGATTGATTAGCTTAACACTGATAAATCTGAGCAAATATTAATGGGTAGAGACTGGAAGAGGGCCATACCTGATGTAATATGTTCCTGCTTGAGGCCCAGTAGCCCTTTCAAAATAACCACACACCTTTCACTATACATCCGTGCAATTCGACCTAGAAAGACAACACAGTTAAAGTGATGGAAAGATTCCAAGTAATGTTCATCACAAGATATACTTTCCACAATAGATTATCTTCCATGATAATCCAAAATTTCACAAACAGTATTTATGCAACTTGCCTGAAGTTCTCTTTTAGTCAGCAGATAAAGGCTAAAATAAACTTAAGCTCTATCAATGACTCAACTTGTCATGGTAGTGAATAGTTGAACTTAGAGATGTGAAAGTTCCCAACTTTGATCTCCAGTCAACTAAATTATTTGATCTCAATGAGAAGCATCAATGAGGCTGCTAAAACTACCACAGCTGTCCATGAATGATTGTGCAGAATCGTGTAAATGTTGGCATGGAGAATGATTGAGGTCAATAGTGATGCACTTTCCACATAACACTTTCTATTCAGGCTCACACAAATCAAGAGGTAGGAGAGGGTGAACCCACTAGCTACAAAATCCTTGAATTGGGATAGGACAGAATGTTAGAGGAATAAAATGGCAGGGAGCAAAACAGAAAACATGCGTACGAGGCCCAATACAGCAATAGAGAAATAGCCTAGCTTGGTCCAATGTTCAATAAAAAACCAAAAATTACTGTGGATGCTGTAAATCAAGAACAAAAACAGAAGTTGCTGGAAAAACTCAGCAGGTCTGGCAGCATCTGTGAAGAAAAAAATCAGAGTTAACATTTCGGGTCCAGTGACCGTTCTGAGGAAGGGTCTGTTTTTGTGTTACTGTACATGATTAGGCACTAAGTTAAATAAACAGAGGGTATGAAAAGGTCTGATCACAGGTCTTAGCATGTGGCTGTGTTCAGTTTTGGTCCATAAGAAACGAAAAAAACATTCAAGCGGTGGAACAAGTGGCCACAAGGTTATGGCTTGCTGTGCTTTGGAGCTGTGGGGGAGGACTGCAAAGAAATAGGTTTTCCAACCTAGAGATGAGACATTCAAGAGGTGATCTTAACAAAAAAGTTATAATTAATGACATAATAAAGTAAATAATTTTTAAATTGAATTCCAGGAGGGCAGGGGCACCCAACTTTAAACTAATAGTACATTTAGATTCAATGTTGAGATTAAAGTGCTGAATGCAGGCATCAGAAACAAAGTTATGGGTGAAAAATGCTGGAATCATCAATGCTGGAAAAAATCAAAGGTATAATGAGAATTGTTAGTTCCACCTCCATTGATGGGTCAAATCCCTCAAGTATAACTAATATCTTGCAATGCACACAGTCACCAGAGCTTAAGAAACATTGCCCCAAATTCCTGATGCAACTCAGACTTCACTATGAAATGAACACACTTCAGACAAGAAACCAAACTCTAGAATTTAGCATAACAGCAGATGTAGGATGACTATAAATCACAAGTGTATTTATAACAGAGCAGCAGTACCAAGACCTCCTGTAGGTGGCACTATGGTGGAATGATGACAGATAGCTTGCTCTGCTGCAGCACCACCAACAGGAATCCACTGCCACTATTAAAATAGAGAGCCTGACAGATATTGACAATGTTTGTTACCAACAGCAAGATTGCCAGCAAAGAAGTCACATTCTCATGATAGGGCCTTTTGGACCCCACTTCTAGACACACTATGTACTCCGTCCTGCCAATGGCATGACTGCCCCAGGCCAAGGGCAGCTAGCATGTTGTGGACTGCCATTTGAGAAGTGACAGGATGCAGTTTCATTTTCCTGCCATTAAGCTGCTGGGAAACTGAAGCTGTAGGATTTTTCATACTCGTGAGTCCTGGTTTGGACTTTTCTGCATCAACATCAGTATCTGAGCAGTGTTCATGTAAAGAACCTAGGGGCCACTAGGACTGTTAAAAGAAGGATGAACAAATGTGGATCAGAAATAGAGTGTGTTAAGGCTCCCCGTCTAGTACTACAGCGGAGTGATGTGACTGCGACCATAAAAGAAAATACAGCTATGTTCCTAGTTTAATAAAACAAAGTCCTCATCTTTATGTATTTTACCTCACCAAAAAAAGCAAGCAAGTAATATTGATTAGGGAACCATCTGAGTGGGCTCAGAGGACAGCAAAATTGGACTGAAAGATATGAATATGCAAAATGAATGGTACCTATATTTAAAATGGCCATCTGAGCTAGCTCTACAGAAACATCTGTGCAATAGGTCTGAAGCTCCTCAAGTATCTGCTGGACATTCTCATCGTTCACCAAGTTCCTGAGGATTTCCATTTTCTGGTATTTAATGTAATTCGGTTCAGAGTACATACAGAAGAATTTCTTGTAGTGACCACTGAAATGCCCAGGTGAGCTGCGAAGGATCTCCCGTGCATGGCACAAACCCAGGAAACACAGCTCGTGACACTCTGATGTGCAGATAGCGAGCAGCGGCCCTTTCACTCGTTCCAGAATATCCATCTGCACGTTGGGGAAATCTTCAGACAGCAGAAGAAATAGTTTGGTGGTCGCCATGACAACATTAGGTTGACTGCTTTTGAGAAAGTCATCGAGTACATTCAGAATTGTGAACACTTCGTCTTCAGTTCGGGTCTTGTAGCGAACCAGGAATGCCAGCACTTCACTCTGCCCCCAGTGATCCAAGTCTTTCATTCTAAACAAATAAATAAATTGAAGTAGAATTCCTTAACAAAAATGCTTCAGTCCTCATTATTATACCCTTTTTCCTACTAATCCCACAATCCTGAAACATTGACCTTATACCAGGACATTGCTTTCAGTGCCTAGTTTTAGTTCACTCACACATTTAAAATATGACAAAGACAGAATGAACCAACCTGTTTAAAAGGTGATGTGCTATTGGCTTGTTGATGACCACGCCTCCTTCATGTTTCAGGATTTCCTCCAATGCTCTCAAGCAATTGACCATGACAATAGGATCTGGGTCACGCAGCATAGCATACAGCTCATTTACCACAGCCCCATCTGTGTGGGAAGAAGGCAAACAAATGACAGTAATCTCAAATCTCTTCACTTTTCAGGTTTCTAACAAACACAAGGAAGACAGCAAGAAGTGACATGTAAAAACACAACAAAGAACTGTGGATGCTGGAGATCTGAAACAAAAACAGAAATTGCTGTAGAAACTCTGCCGGTGAGTCACCGGTCTTGAGATGTTAACTACGCTTTCCTCCCACAGATGCTGCTGGACCTGCTGAGTTTTTTCCAGTAATTTCTGTTTTTGTTTAAGAAGTGCAATGGGTTTAAACCAGACTTAAACGAAATTCCGTTTCCCCCTTCTCCATGCTCCTACCTCTAGGTCAACTCTAATGGGTAATGAGAAATAAAGCTAAATTACTCGATAATCTAACGGTAAGAGGACACCTGACTGATTGTGATCATAACATAAAGTAATTCAATGTTAGGACCGAAAGGTTGGAAAGCGGGTTTTAGTCTTGAGTAAGGCTGACTCTGGAGAGATGAGGTACAAAATTTGCCACAACAGCCTGGGCTGCACTATTAAATAAGTATTTATATCTAGCAAGTTTAAAATTATTAGATGTCTCCCAAGAACCTAAACAAAAATATTATCAAACAAATTCCACAGGAAGAAAGAAAAGAAGATACTAATGTAGATGAACAATTGTTTGATCAAAGAGCTAAGTTGTAAGGAGTGTCTTAAAGGAGTAAAGAAAGATAGAAAGGCAAACAGGTTCAGGGGGGCATTTCCGAGCTTACTGCATTGGCAACTGACGACTGGTAAACAGAACTTGGTGCAAGTTAGGGCATGTCAGACGATCTCAAGTTTACAGCAGGTAGAAAATGAGAGCCCACTCAAGAATGTGCAGGAACTGTCAAGAACAGAGATAATAAATGGGTATTTTGTCATCAGGTGACCTAAGACGGGACAAAGGAAAATCATATTACAGAGGTGGTAATACTTGGTGAGGGAGCGGGTAAAACTATGGATGAACAATGGGGGTGTTGTTGAAAAAGTCTTTGATAGATACATATCTCTTAAAGGGCATGAGGTGTATTTCTGTAATGGAATAACCATGGCCAAAAATGCAAGTAAAAGAACACAAAAATCAAGGAAATGAACTTATGTAAAAGTAAAGAAATAATAGAGATGTTGTAGACAAGGACGATGTAGGATACAAAGAAGTGGCAAAAACTGGCAAAAAAGGAAAAATTAAAATATTACAAAGGTTATCAAGGATAGGACTAGAGGTTTTTACAAGTTCATTAAGAGAAAGTTGACTAAAAGTAATGTCAAACTTTTAAGAAAAGACACAGGTGATACTGCAATTGCAAGTTCACAAAATGACAGGCTTATTGAGTATCTACCTTGTATTGATTACAGCACAGGATGAGAATAAAGAACCAGACATACAAATAAAACAAAACAAGTGGCACAGACTAGATTCATTACAAAAATAAAAAGATTAAAGTTTGACGTATCTCCAGCAATCTTATGGTTTCAACAATAGTAACAGGTGAGGATATTGTTGATGTGTTAGTTCTGACCTTCTAAAACTCTTAATTCTTTATTTCCCTCTTGAATTGGAAAATTCCCCACATTGCTTCATTATTCAAGAAGGATAGTAAAGATAAATGAGGAAATTATGGGGTTATCAGTCCAATATCGGTTGTGAGTAAGTTGTTAGAATCAGCTTTTTGGCTTGAGTGACTGATCATTTCAACAAAGCAGAGCTGATTTGAGAATCGCCATGGACTTATTAATGGGACGTTACATCTAATACATTTTGGTGACTTTTTTGAGGATGCAGCATCGCTGGTAGATAAGGGAGTGTCCATGAATGTTACTTATACAAACTTCTGCAAGATATTCAATAAGGTTCCACATAAGAGATTGCCAACAAAATTGGAAACTGAAGCAATCTATTGCCAATTGAAAATTTTCAAAATTGAGATCGTTAGATTTTGTGTTAGGTAAAGGTATTAAGAGTTATAAAGCAGGGCAAGTTGGGAACTACGATAAAAGCAAAGTGTAGTGGATGCTCATCAAATGTGGAAGCATCTGTGCAGACAGAATAGAGTTAATGTTTCATGTTCAGTATGACTCTACTCAAAACATTAGCTTTGTTTGTCTGCACAAAAGATGTCAGACCTGCTAAGCTTCTCCATCACTAGCTGTTTTAATTCAGGGAACTAGGATACAATTGAATAGCAAAACAATCTCAACAGACTGAATGGCCTACTCATTGTTTCCACCTCCTCCAGCTGCCACTTTCGCTATTAACTAATTTTAAACATTTCTAGTAAGTATAACTGAAGAGGTATTGAGAGATTGGTACATCATATATTCTGATCACACAGAGAGGAACTTGCACTGAATGATACAATCAACTTGAGATGTCAACATGTAAAGGCATTTAAAAATGAAGCACCAAGACCATCAGCAGATAGATCAGATTATTTTCAGTTTCAAATAATCCCCAGCGTGCTACTCTCTCACAAAGAAATTCCGTAAATCCGCAAAAAATTCTGAAATGGATTATTTTTGCACATACCAACTTCTGTATCCCCTTGAAGAGTCTGCATTTTAGCACATCCCAGGACTGCTGCTCGCCTGACGTAGGAAGCTTTATCTCTTAATCCATTTAGTACTGGTTGTTGAATATACTCACTTATACCTGGCATTCTGAAAAAGAACAAATCACTCATTCAAATTCTCATTGATCCAGAACAGGAGAAGGCTCCTCACATCTGTTTACTTTGTTTTGAATCATGCTTTTACTTTGAAAACTTAGAATCATAGAAGAGTTAAAGCATAGGAGACCATTTAGCCTGTCAATCCTGTTCCAACTCTCCGTAAAACCAGTTTAGCTTGTCCTGTGTTTCTGCCTTTTCCACACAGCTCTGTAAATGACTTCCTTTCAGGTGGTTATCCAATTCCCTTTTGAAATTCATTACACTCACATTCCAGATCCTAAACCATAGAATCATAGAATCCCTACAGTGTGGAAACAGGCCCTTTCGGCCCAACAAGTCGACATCGACCCTCAGAGCATTGCACCCAGCCCCATCCCCATAATCTACACATCCCTGAACACTACAGGCAATTTAGCACGGCCAATCCACCTAGCCTGCACATCTTTGGATTGTGGGAGGAAACCTACACAGACACAGGGAGAATGTGCAAACTCCACACAAGACAGTTGCCCGAGGGTGGAATTGAACCCAGGTCCCTGGCACTGTGAGGCAGCAGTGCTAACCACTGAGCCACTGTACCACCCAAGAAGGGGTGATTTTTTTTTTTTAAACTATTCACTTTAAATTCATATCATTTGGTTCTGCACCCTTCTGCCAATGGGACCCGTTGTTCTCCATTCACTTTGTTTAGATCCACAATGTTGTAAAATCTCCTCACAACTTTTACTACTTTTCTAATAAAAGCAACCTTAGCCTCTCCAATTCACTAACAAGATGGTTGACTGCTGGAAAAATTCACACACATCTTTTCTCTAAAAACATACTTCATAACAAAAATGAGAAAAGGGTATGTAAGGAATGTGTTTGCAAACCCAACAGACGTGGTGCACAGAGAAAATCTGATACACACCCAAATGAAAACCTAGTCAGAAAATTTGGGAATCTTTTAACATTTTAAAGTTAACAAAGTATTTTTGATGAGTCTCACTGTTGTAATCTAGTAGCCAATCATCAAATTGTGCACAGTGACCTCCCCCAAACTGTGACCTATCAGTGATCAGCAATCGTTTCAGGATATTGATTAAAGAATGATGCAAACAGAACATTTGCAGGGAAAATGCTGGAATAACCCAGCAGGTCTGGCAGCATCTGCAGAGAGAGAAAGAGAGTTAACGTTATCAAAACATTAACTCTGATCTTCCACAGGTGCTGCCAGATCTGAATTTCTCCAGTACAGTGTGTTCAGTGTTTCAGATTTCCAGCATTTGCCTTTATTTGGGTGTAAACAGTGGGTCCACCTGATAATGGAAACAGAGCCTTGGTTGAACAACGATATTAATCGGAAGAGAGATAACAAGGTGTAGAGCTGGATGAACACAGCAGGCCGAGGAGCAGGAAGGCTGACGTTTCGGGCCCTTCTGATGAAGGGTCTAGGCCCGAAACGTCAGCCTTCCTGCTCCTATGATGCTGCTTGGCCTGCTGTGT